AGGTCATAGCCTAATTGAACAAAGCTTACGTTTAATTTCAATGTGATCGACTTGACTAAGGCAACTGATTGATTTCCAGTTTTATCCTGGATCACTACAAATTAAATGACGCTTTTACTAGATTTCTACATGTCATGTATAATAAGTTTTTAACTTGAAGAATTTATCAAAAAGTGCTGAAGATTGTAGATAAACATCAACAACAACATGAAAGATTTAAAAACACATAACTGCAAACGTTATGCATGTATGTAATGTAACATGCATTTATGAATATTATATATATGTGTATACATTACATATACAAAGTTTTGAAAAGTACAACAAGATCGTGTAAACCAACAATGGCATACATACATATAAATAGATTTTGAAATGTTGAAAAGTAAGACAAATGACCCTAAGTGTAGACGGGTGGAACCGAAAGCAACAAGCTTCATAAACGTAAACATAAACTTGCATTTGCGACACACACACATATATATATATATATATATATATATATATATTTATACAATACATGTGTATGTTTTAAAAGCATTCAATGTACTTGAAAATGATTTAACTATCGTTTGACTTGTCAGACAACTGCAGTGTATTTATTGGCACCCAGTCATACATACATATGTGCCATAATAAGTAGCAAGCATCTTTCCGATTAGAAGGAGTGCATAAAACGATTTTCATATGTTTTTAAGCACTTAGAGCTTAGAACGAATACAAGTAGGAACTTATTGTCAGCATTGTCTGTGTACAACACAAACGAAAGGAAAGTTTAGTAAATTATGGAATACACGGGTTAAGTGCATGTTTATACAAATATACACACATCTCTTGTTTTACACGGTACTTAGCTTACACATTTCTATATCCATCACCGAGGGCATATTCATTTTATTAGAACGTTTGCAACACCCAGAAGGAAGCCTCAGAGACCTCACAAAGTATATATTTATATATATATATAAATATATATATAAATAAAATATATATATATATATCCCCGATCAGCATCAAATTCCAAGCCAGTTTAAGCATGTTCGCCCGTTCCTTTGCGGTGGGAAAGATCCAAAAGAAGGGACAATGGTGAACACATCAATTGACTGAAAATTCCATTTCGATCCGTTTTCACATCGGGATTTCATTGCCTGCCAGGCAAAAAAGCAAGAGTTTTCTGTGGCTTATTGTAACTGACGATGAAAAATAGAACTACTACCACAATCACGATTTAAGACTTTCAAGCCAATTTCTCGATGATCACACTTGTATTGTAAATACAAAGATGAATGTATATATATATATATATATATATACATTAATAATATTATCTTTCTGCAAACGTTCAGTTTCATTCTTCACAAGCGTTTCATGAAGTACAGTGCTTTATAAATTATTCTAATATATATATATATATATATAATCCTCTTATTGGCACTATGCACACAACAGAAATGTAAGACACAATAATAGCAAAACACGAATTATTTATTATAATTATTATTTTTATTGGCATAAGAGCTAAACATATGTTATTATTAGGCATTAGTTATTAGGATTTTCATCAGCAATCACGAACTTATTCACGTTGTGCCAAGGCTTGCAACGTGAAGCGGGCAACGGGGATGGTATCGTTTAAAAGGAAGCTCACGGTGCGCATTTTTAAATGAAAATATAAATTTAACCAAATTCACCATGAAGCTGCACAAGTCATCGTCATGAGAACAAAATTAATGATTTTTACACAACTTGAGTTACAGTGTTATTTGAGTTAGCCGGATGTGTGTAACACCTACAAAAATAAAACACAGACCCGCCTTATATTGTATCGATTGATTTAGAAAAATTTTCTGCATTCTTTTAAGCTGTCTGTCTGTCCGCCAGTCCGTCTATAGCTTTATCCGTCTTGAATTTCTTTGCCAAATACTCTCGACGAAATTTCTCTATTGCTGGTTCCAGTTTAGTTAGTAATTACCTATATCGAAACACGATTCCGTATTTCATTATTTCAGAGAGAGGCAAATTACAAGGTTTGAGGTTAAAGTTGTGCACATGGACCTGACGGGATTAAATCATGTATACTTACGCCGTACTCTGAGAAGTTACGTGTTGTAATCTCAAAGATTTTTCATCTCTCTTTGAAAACGGGCGTATTCCCTTTGTGTTGGAAGAATAATTTCCCTATTCCAATTCGCAAATGTAGAATTCGAGTAGACATCGAGTTGAGTTATATTAGTTTTTCGCATTCAATTTTTGCTATTAAATCTTTTATTCTTCCAGGACCCGTTTTCTTTAATCTATACATTGATACATGATCTCCTCTTGATGATTAAACTCAGCCCGATGTTAATACACGCTGACGATGTTAAACTGTTTTCTTCCTTCTTCTGGGAATCGCAATCGTATCGCACCAGCTTCAAGTTGACTTAAATAGTTTGCTTATATAGTGCTCGTTAAATTTTCTGAAATTAAATATAAAAAATGGCAAGCAGGTCTCCTTCTCAAAGGGGAAGGGGGTTCCATTCGATCAACGATTACGCTTTAATTTGCACATTGAGTTCCCTTTAAGTAAAGCTAGGTCCGCGCTAAGTTTTATTAAGAGGTGGTCGAAAGACTTTAAAGATCCTTACCCTATACTTGTGCTCAGTTAGACCAATACTTGAGTATCCTTCCTATAGGCGTTATTGTAGATTCAATTGAATCAATTCGAAAGCAACTCTTGCTATTTGCCCTTAGGAATTTGGGTTGCGACCCGCTTGTCTCTCTGATTCCGTATGAAAATAAGTTGCTCCCGTTATTCTTACCGTCATTTGCGAAACGTGGATTTTTTTCTTGGTGTCCCCTTCTTAATTCAGTTAATTCATGGTACTATCGATTCGTTCACATTGCTTGGTGAGATAAGCTTTAATATCCCTAACCGCTTCTCTAAGCAATTCATGTTCATTAAGCTGAGCCAATGAATATAATAATGAGCTGTCTAATCTGTTCAGAGTTTTTTGCAGAAACCTTGATAATGTATATCACTTTATCTCAATATCGGACGCTTTAAAGTCTCCCAAAACAACTATGCTTAATAAGCGCGATTTGCTTATGCCTTAAGATCTCACTATAATTCGAAAATTAACTGGTGTTGTTGGTTGCCAAGCTTATGCATGTTTGCAATGGCATAGCGGTTCACTTGCAACTTGGTTCTGTATTAGTTGTAGGTGGGCCTCTGTGTTAGCTGTTTTTTCTTTCTTTCTTATTTATAGAAAAATTATTTATTTTTTTTTTATTCTTTAATTCTCTCTATATACTTTATACTAGTTTTTAACATTAATTTATATAAGATTTATTTCTAAGAGTTAATTGAATTCGGGCGTTGATCTATTATATATAGCACATATTTGTGTCAAATTTTAGCTTCTTATTTTCACTTTTGCAAGTGTGACGATTCTACATGGCGTTGAACGAAATGCTTGGTAATGAAAACAATAAACAAAACTTTTTTCTATTTTCCTAGTATTTCTTAACGAAATTCGCATCAACGAATCGCGAATTCTACCTTTTACAAAAAGTAAGAGTGACCTTCTTTACAACATGTTACAAACATGTACTTATAGAGCATTTATGAAATATAACGACTTTTACTGGACTACAGAACAATAAAAGAAACGGCGTTGACCGACTTGATCAACTTATTCACATTAATGTCAGTCTTTGTTTTATTTCCCAAAACTTCTGAATACTTCCTTTCTGCTTGTGTCTACAGGTAACGCTTGGCAAGATCTCAAATGTTGCTAAACATTCGGTACATTTCTTTTGTCTTTCGTACCCTGTTATTGCTTGACTTTTCGGAAAATTCTACACAATAATGAAAAGAAATAAACAAGAATCGAAAATCGAATAAATTCTTTAATTACTTCTGGCAAAGTTTGAAAACTTCTTTTATGACACTTTGTGTATGAAGATTGCTGACAAAAACCGGGAAAATCCTTTATAAACAATTTCAAGTTAATAACAATAAATAATCCGCAAACAGTTTTTATTATGATGAAATTTATTGGGAAAGTCAAAGTAATTAAGCAGTGCCACAACTTTGCAACCCTTAGTACGTTAATCCTTATCTCTACCATCCTGTGTTGACTTTCATTTACTTCTCTAGGATAAAATGAAAAAATACGTGATAGAGTTATAGTCACAGTTAATTCTGAGATTATTAAAGAAACTTGAATAAAAATTAATTATCAGATTAAGGTTCAACTTAGCAATTGTCCTCCATATCGTGAACAAGTTAATAACAAATATATTTGAATTCTATTTGCAGTTAATCGAACAGTTAATGTTCATCGTCGAATTACTTAACTAATATTTCCAAGTTTGACTGAGCTATCAATTCTATCACAGAAGTTGCGCCAAATTTATTAAATGCAACGCATACATCGCTGAAACACTCTATAATTTTCCATTCCCCTCACTTGGCTGTATAGTATGAAAAACGAAATTGATTTCTCCAAGTTTCTGCTGGTGTGAGCCTCATTCAGTTAACGCTAGGATTTCCTTAGTATTTCTAGAAATTTATTTTTGACTTAAAATGTGTACTTTACTTAGTTCGGTTCATAACTGCACAGAGGTACCTACATTCAGGATTAAAATTAACCCGATAACAAACGTTCGACCTGTTTATGATTTTCATTTATTCTTACGCTTGCATATCGGGTTTTCCTTTTCAGCACATATCGTATACATTTAGCGAAACTAAATCAACAAGTTAGGTAGGCGGTGAGTAGATTTGATCTGAAACGTCAGATAAAATGTGTTTTTCTTTTTCGCTTTTGGTTTTTCCCAAAATATTTCCTGAAAGAAATGTGAAATGTTTTACGATGCTAGATATAAATACGGGACTAACTGTGAGCTGTTCGACAGTTTTATATAAACACGTGAATAAAGCGCAGTATTTGCGTGCAGTGATCTATAAAGTTATATATTGAAGAGAACTTAAGGAAATTATTCAAATTGAAATAATGTTCGGCAACTTGAATACTTTTTACCCGAACTTGGGAGGCTCATGCTATGGTCATCTTTCTGTCAATACGAGACAAGATGCATTTCCCTGTGGCGGACAAAAGTTGGTTTGGAACTCAAATGCAATTGAAACGATAATGATATTGAATGCTGCCTTGTGTAAAATCAAATATGAAAATCAAGAACTTAAGGCGCACAACCGTCACTTGCAGAGAGACAACCAGTGCCTAAAAAGAGAATTATTTGAACGAGAAGGACAATTGCATACTATGCAGATCAGAACGACGGCTTTAGAAGAAGAAATTAATTACATGAAATTTAAAACAACAATGACAAATGCTAAGAACAGTAGCTTTATAGAGGAAGAAAATCAAACCAAAAATCTCAAAAAATCGAATTCTCCTAAAGAAACGTGTTCAAGCTTAAACCTACTCTTTAATTTGGCCGTGCAATATGCTCTCGAAGGTAAATACGAGATCGCGGTTCCAGTCTGCAAGGAAGCTTTAAATGCTTTTAAAGAAACCAATAATGAATACCACGTCGATGCTGCAACTTTACTGAACTTTTTGTCCTTAATTTGTGCCAAATATGGTCTTTACTGTGAAGCTGCGCAGTACTTGGAAAAGGCTCTTCTTATCAGAACACTTAACTGTGGCTTTACTGACGAAACTGCGATAATCACTTTAGGTAACTTGGCTACGCTTTATGGGAAATGTCAATGGTATCGTAAAGCAGAAGAGATTAAAATAAAACTTGTGCGTATTAAACAACAAATGCTTGGCGATAATCATTTGGAATTAGCTGAACATTTGATTGATCTTGCCATGCTATGCCAGCAACAAGGTAGATATGAAGAAGAACAAGTTTACTATCATCGAGCAGTAAACATTTATGAATCTCAATTGGACGCCAATGATATTCGCGTAAAGCGTGCAAAACTTAATTTAGCCAAATGCCTTATCGAGCAGCTCAAATTTCAAGAAGCTGCTCTGTTGTATCGGCAAATCGAAGGGGTCTTTTAAAAGCGCTCTGTTGTTCACCCAAAGCCAAAAGAAATTTGTTGACGCTTGGCTGTGGGAAAGTGTGGCGTGACGATACAGTTTGATAAAACACAACAAGTGAACAAAGTCCAAAAAAAAGCTTTATTTAAACGTTTGATACCAAATTTCGAATTGAAGAAATCTTCAACTCTGATATATTGATCGTAAAAGTGATATTATTTTTACAAACTAGACTATATAGACTGGAAATATGAATTAATTTAGTTATAAAATAATCTTAAGAGCACTTTTGAGTAATCCCATGATGTGGTCATACATAATAAAAATTAAAAAAAAAAAAAAAATAAATAGTTTTAACTCTAATCATAACGGAGTAAGTCTGCGATGTTCATTTCAACTTTGAACTTGAATTTCTTTGATTTTCTTTATCAGAATTGAAAACAAAATTTGTGGGTTGTCTTTGATTTGATATTTTGCTTGCTTGTCTATGCTTTCTTTTTCTATCAAGAAAAACAATACCATTGGAATTATTTCTGGTATTCTCGCAAGTGACCAAGAGTCAGATGGTGGTGTGATTCGTTATGGTTTAACTTACATTTATGATAACTTTTTGAAATGAATATTAGTACGTTTTCATAATTACAGGAAATGATGAAAAATCATGAAAAATTAAATCTATTGGGAAATAGTTATAAACATGAGAATAGTTAAAATAATAATATTCATAATAATTTGAAAAAGTTAATTAATTATATATATTTATATAACCCACTCCATTAGTAGTGCGAGGATATGTCATATATTATGTAGTAAAACTGCCTATTATTCTCTGCCTGGGAATCCTACTGTCCCTAATATGGATGACGTCTGCTTGACGGCAGTACCAACAGAAATGTTCGTGTCAAGACTGGTGCCCGACACATCGGGGGATAATATAAAAAATTATCTTGCAGCAAAAGTCCCATCCGTCAATTTGAAGCGTGTTCGCATTTTCAAATTGGCTCCATCTCAACCCATAACTGTCTGGTCTTTTAAAGTGCTAGTTCCGAAATATGGAAATTGTGTTAAACAAACCATTGTGGCCAGTTGATTCCTTAATAGAGAAATTCATTCCTCGAGATTGTCATCTTAATACTAGCTAAATGTTCCTTCATGCCCAGTAATTCTCATTTACTAAAACGTTAGGAGCATGAACTCAAAAATTTGCTTCATTTAGTGAAATGGGTAGGCTCTTATTTCCTTAATAGATTTAAGGCTGTGTTTAACTCCATCGCTTGAATCGCACAAATTGTAAAAAGTAGATTCGTTCATGGACTTAGGGGCTTTACTCGATAGGCTTCGTTTTAATTCGCACATTGACCTCTTTACAAATAAAGCGAGGTCAGTGCTTGGATTTATTAAACGGTAGTCTAAGACGCTTGAGGGCTCTTACGTTACAAAAAGTTTATATATGAGCTTAGTTCGACCAATACTTGAATATATGTCTTTTGTGTGGTATATAGATTTAATAGAATCCGTGCAAAACCAATTCCTGCTCTTTGCTCTTAGGAATTTGGGCTGTGACCCGCTTGTCGCTTTGCCTCGTTACGAAAATAGATCGCCCTTGCCGTCACCTTGAAAAACATAGATTTATCCTGTGTGTTTACTTCTTAATCAAGTTAATAAATGTTGCTATCGCTTGGCCTACATTAGTTGGAGGACTGTTTATGAAGAAACTGTGCTTTGGTAAAGCTTAGTCAATATGGAATTGAAATATAATTAGGAGCTTTTCAATCCTTTTAGAGTCCTTTGCAAAAGTCTAATTTAATCTCATTACCGGCTTCATTAAAATATGTCATAGCAACTCTCCTAAGCACGCGCGCTTTACCCATGTCGTATCTAGATTAGCTTCTAATCTCGATATCTTCGTAGGATTCGAAAATTTAACTAAATTTTGTCACCAATACCGGTCGCTAAACGTTGGCATGGCTGCAATGACCTAGCTCTAACAAGGTTAATGATACACTTCTATGCTAAATGTGTATATGTGTGTTTTTATTTTCTTTTTATTTTTGTGTTTATTTATTTATACATGAATTTTGTTCTTTTTGTTTTCTCTATTTTTATTTTAACACTTTTTAATCGTTGCGAATAACATTTAGCATAAGATTTATTTCTAAGAGCCAATCAAGTTCAGCTGTTAGTTTATTTTAGTTGAATTTTATGTATAAAATCATGAAAAGTAAAAGCAAGGTTATCAAAGAGTGTATGAAAATAAAGTATAGTTTATGGTGTATTATCACACTGCACTTTGTCCGAAGCAGTGTAAAGCAATCAATGGATAATTCTACCCGACTACAAAGTTCATTAGATTAGACAGACACATATGTTTAGATACTTTTAACAATGCAAATCAGATCTACATGATGCATCTATTTAAAATTCGCATGTGCCATTTTCAGGGCTTAAGAAAATCAATTCATTTAGTAAATATTTCAAAAATATTTGTTAAAGCTTAGCCAATCAAATGGGATAGTTAATCATTATTGGTACAAGGCGACGGTACAACATGTTTATAACTTTTATGTTTTAATTATAATAATCGCTAACGTTTTTACAAACCATTTACCATTTATGGCCCATCAAACGTACTAATTACAAATTATTGGATAACTTTGTGGTTTTCTTTTTTTTTGTTTTTTATTTAAAATGCAAATATGCCCAGACATACGCTAAATGTGTTTGGATTATTAAATTTATATTTAATTAATTTTGTGTTATTTACACACAAACGAATTGTTGAAAGCAAATTTTTTTTTTGCAGAGTTGCACTAAAAGCTTCCAAACTCATCGCGACATTTTTAATCCGTTAATCCGTTTTTCCGCTAAATATCTGTCAATTATTGTTAATCGAAATTGAATTTACTCTCGACTAATTCTCCTCATCAAAAATGGCATTTCCTTAACAATAGCTTTCACGTTCGCGAAAGTCTTAACATTTCATAATGTTTGACGTATACGCGATTGTCTACTTATTTGAAAAATTCAGTTCATACGTACTGTTGTACGTTTCAATGCATAACATCCCAATCTTGCCGTTTCTTGTTACTCAGGCAGAGAGAATGTCTTGAGTAAAAAACAAAGTTTGCCGTAAGACATGTTTTGTCTTCATTTTCCAAATTTTTTTATTTATTTGTTTTTTTTTTTGGAACTTCTTCATCAAAAGTCAACTAACAATTATACAGTTTATTAGTGACAAGGTTATATAACAATTTTTTTTTTTTTGATTTCAAAATGAAAAAACGATAAAATCATTTAGCTCCCAACTTGGGAGTTTTTTATTACTTAAAACTGTTTTTTGTAAAGAAAACGAGTACAAAAGCTGCGCATTTGAGATGAATTTGCAACACTACAATAAGTTAGTATGTGAATATCTTGCCTGCTCTTCTCATAATCACTTTTATGTTTATTCATTTCTTTTTCCATCCAAAGTATTTGTGCGACTTCGTTCGGTAGTTATGACAAATTTCTGATATCTTGCTTAGAAAATAAATCCATAACACAAACATTCTACTTTCTTGGAATGAGACCGAGACCGTTTGTACATTTCACTTTAATTAAGGTGGGAGCCACTGTAGTCACCCAAAAAAAAATGTTTGACGGCAGAAAAGTTGGTAGAATAACAACATTGAAAGTGTTTATCAATCGTATATTAAATTAACAAGAAAAAATTATTGTCAAAAGTATTAAAAAATACCAAAACCCGAAAGCTTCCCAGAAAACAACTAACGAAGCTATATTCCTCTGGGGCGAATCTCAGCAATCATTTTATTACACAGATAGCCATTTGCTCGTGCTGCAATACGATAAGCGCGATTAAAACCTTCAATTCTTGGCAAATGGCGATGATTGCCAATGATTGAGGAGTATTTGAATGAAAATGTTCAATTTTCGATTAATAATCATCGGCGTTTATGCCGGGCTTGACTATTGATGCCCTTTCTCTGCATAGTACATTCAATTTCCTTGTTTCGAATTTTTTGGTTTCAAAATTTTTTTTTTTCACATTAAAGCAAGCAATAACACTATAGTGGAACACGGACCACGATTAAATACATCATCCTATAGTTTTCTATACGTTGATCTTTCAAAATAAGGAGTTGATGTGGTGAACCGAATGACTTTCTAATTAGTCAAACCATCTTGAAGATTATGGGATAGTAGGTTAAACACAAAAAAGCAAGACGGACAGACGGACAGACCTTGCACTATAAGTGATGTAGGATATAAAAACGTTCTCGGATGTCTTAATTAATTGAACATCGCGTCTCTTCTTGTTCGTGCTTTTCATTGAAAATTACAATCAATATTCAGATTTCGTGCAACTTTATATTATCGAAATGACGAAAGTAACTTGCTTGTTATAAAGTGTGTAAGTAGAATATTTGCGAAAGGTAAGGAGAATCGAAAAGTGAGTCGAAAGGGATTCGAGTCAAGCGAGTTGAGTCGTAATATCAAAGCGAATTAAAGCGTTGCAAGTTTGAATTCTTTGAAATAATTTTTAAATAGATTTCCTAAGAATTGTAAATAAAGCTTAAACTATCCTAAAAATGGCAACTCAGTGGTACGTACTTTATTTCAAAAGCACTTGAATAATAACATAAAATTCATTAAGGGCCGATTGAAGCGACAATATTCACTGTGATGCAAAATGTCGTGACTGCTAAGGAGTGCTCAAATTTTAAAGTCAATTGTTATTTATTTAACTTTATATAATCTTAACACAATAATAATTATTCGTAGAAAAACTTGATCTACGTTGTTAAACGGGTTCGAACATGAAATATAACAAGTATTAATATTATAAAGAATTTCCGCTAGTAGTTTCGAAGCTCATTGAAATTTGCAGCGGGTATGAATGTCTTAAAATTGAGATGCCAACAAATTCCGAATCGATTTAAGTATGTTCGTCTGTCGGCCTTTGTCTTATGTTTGTCTCCCGGCAAAAAATGAATATATCGGCTTTAAATTAATCAACTAAA